GCAGAAGCTCTTTAATTTGATGTAGTCCCAGCTGTTTATCTTTCTCTTCACTATCACTGCTTTGGGTGATGTGTCTGTAAAGATGTCTTTGATGTGCAAATCCCGTAGTGTTTCGCCTATATTTCCTTCTATGTATTTTATGGTTTCAGGTCTTATGTCTAGTTCTTTAATCCATTTTGAGTTGATTTTTGTGTATGGTGTGAGGTAGTGGTCAAGCTTCATTCTTTTGCATGTAGCGACCCAGTTTTCCCAGCACCATTTATTGAACAAACTTTCTTTGCTCCAATGCATAGTCTTTGCTCCTTTGTCAAAGATTAGTTGACCATAAATCTGTGGGTTTATTTCTGGATTTTCTATTCGATTCCATTGGTCTGTATGTCTGTTCTTGTTCCAATACCATGCAGTTTTGATGATTATGGCTTTGTAGTATAGTTTGAAGTCTGGGAGTGTGATGCCTCCATTTCCTTCTTTTTTTTTCAGTAGAGCTTTGGCTATTCGGGGTTTTTGGTGATTCCATATGAATTTCATCAATAATTGTTCTATTTCTTTGAAGAATGCCATTGAGATTTTGATTGGAATAGCATTGAATCTGTATATTGCTTTTGGTAGGATGGCCATTTTAATAATGTTTATTCTTCCAATCCATGAGCAGGGGATGTCTTTCCATTTCTTTGTGTCTTCTTCTATTTCTTTAACAGTGTTTTATAGTTTTCTTTGTATAGGTCCTTTACCTCTCCCCCACCCCAGGTGTAGTTCCCATAGAATTTCCTTCACCAATGCACCCGTGCAATCAAAGAGAGATTTCAATAATTTGTGGACTCTGAGTACATTCAAGTTCATTTTTTCCAGAACATTGTTTTTTACTCCTTGTTTCAGAGGCTTTACTCAATTACATTTTTTTAATTGTCACACATATCTTTAGACTGTTCCCTCAATCCAAGGGAGGTTTGGAGTATTCTTCTGGCCATCAGGGCCCACAAGGAAATGGAAACTTCCCTACTAGACAAGACCACCTTGTTGCAGTTCCATCATCTGACTACCTCTGTGACCCAATTGGGGTTCTGTGAGATGTGGGGTGCAGTGCTCATTCTGATGTTCAACTGGTTGGCTGGAGAGCTACTGCTACTATCTCACATGTCCTAGGTTTCTGAGTATTTGTTCTGGCCTGCTGTTCCTCTCCTCCAACCTCATTGTCTTACATGGCTAAGTTGACAGCATTGCAGGCAACTTCCAGTGCCTCATTCCATCCTTATGTCTCATTCAGATCCCTTCAAAAATAGGACTGCTCAGGATGGACTTGAGTCTATTCCATCCTTTTTACTTACAACTCTTCTTCTGCACATTGTCAGTTCTCCTTCTGTGTGCTTATATTTCTCAGTTTCACTTAATTAGTTGCTAGCTGGGTTTTTCTTTCAAAAGTTCACCTCTTCATAGGAGTTTCCAGAATAATATTGTTCTTATGCATTATTCCAGCTGCAAATGCATCCAGCCATGTCCAGAAATAAAAATCAAACATGCTGATACCAAAGATAGAATACATGAAAAGAATTTAAACTCATAGTTTATCTTCAAAAGGTGGACCTTAGTGGAATGTTAAGTTTCCAGTAGATATTCAAAGGAACAGAGCTTAATATTATGGAGACATTCATCATAAAAAATACCAACCATCAAATTCAATCCCTGATGATAAGAACTGAAAAACCATAAAACCTGTAGTGGCATGATTAAATTTTGGTCATTTAATGTTTTCTGACACCAACATGAAAATGGGCTTCTCGCAGGCAGTGGAAAACTGAATAGTTTAATTTGGCTATTGATAGGCTAGGACAGTATTTACCTTCATGGATATGTATTAAATATTTACTAATTGTGAAAACTACTAATGCTACTATAGTGAACAAGCATGTAAAGGGAAATATAGGGACACTCCTTGTCCAGATAATGCCATGTGCTAGAAGGCAAGATGGTCATTCTATCTGTGGAAACACCATTTGAAGAAAGACCAGGAAGATAGTCATGAAAGTTAGGGAGCTACATGGGTAAGAGACATGTGAAGAGGCTGTTTTTTGGGCTTCAGCATTTTTGGCAGATAATGGCAGCCAAAATAAGAGGGTATGTTTTGAATGCTGGGTCTTTCTGTCCCAGCATTCTGAGAACTGCTTAGCCATTTTTTTTAAATCAGTTCCCAATCAGTAAGCATCTTAGACTTGTGGCAAGCTTTTGTGTCTCTGCTGTACCAGTTTGGGTAGAAACTGCTTTCCTGGGCATTTGTCCATGAGGGGAAGGGTAACTTTCAGACTTTTATGAGGAATCAGTTACTTGAAATCCTTCTCTTCTCTCTGTCTATGTATTTTGAACTTTCACACCACTTAACGATCACTCACACTAAGAGTCTATGTTCTTTGCCTTTGTGCATGTGGACGGCCAAACCCTTTCAAAGCATGTACCCATTAACAGTTTGGGGTCCCTGACTACCCCTTAGTTGCATGGTTACAATAGAGACCTGGGGCTTGAAAGAGAGGAGGGAAACTTCCATCACAAGGAGCGGGTGACTCAAAGGATGAAGACTAGATACACTGTAGTTGTGTTTCCCTGACATATAGATTTCTTGCATAGTAAAGTTCTTTCTGGTAAAAATCCTAATTGTGGGTAATACCCCTAATTTTCATTCTTTTAGGTATTTAAGGGGATGTGAGCTTGCAGGTCTGTGTGATTGATTTCAGCTCAAAATAACCCAAATAATGAGAACATGACATGTGTTGAGAAAGCTGGTAATGAACATCTTTGGGAGGTCTATTCTTTTTTCTTTTTAAAGATTTATTTTATGCATATAAGAGCTGGGGTATAGGCCAGAGATGCAAGGTGGTGGTGAGAGGATTCACCAGAGAGAGTGGGGAGAGGAACAGGTAGATGTACTGAAATACACTGCTGAGGGGAGCAGTGGGAGAGACAGGAGAGGTCTGCTGTGCCATGTGGTTTAGCTCCCTGGCCAGGAATTGAACTTATGCTGCAGTGGCTGTGGATAGCATCATAGTGCTGTGACTTAAGCCCTTGTGCCACCAGGGAGGCCACAAAATTTATTTTTCTTAAACTCTCCTAACTTTGTTCTGTTTTTTTTTTTTTCTGACAGACCTTCAGCTATTTTGTTATTGATTACATGCTTGTTGAATGAATAACTCCCCCCCCACTCCCAATGTACTAGATCTCAGTAATACATAGTTCTTTATTTTGTTTAGAAAGATTTGAATTTAAAGACAAATGTGGAATATATTTAAAAAAAGATTGGGGAAGGGGCATGGAACAGATATGAAAGAAATATGGCAATTAAGAAAGCATCGCACATGGTACATATCATTTCATTTCAATGAAGAATGAGAAATTTAGGAGAATCAGAGAATCTTATAGGTGCCCAATCATTCTAACTCCACTTCCTGCCCAAAGCGAAAATTACCCAGGAATATTGGATAGGCATTTCATATTACAGTTCTATATTAAACAGAAAACAATAGAAAGAAACTGAAGTAATATTACAATGAGACCTACAAAGAGAAAAGATGCAAAGATTTTTCTACTGTAGGAAAAAAAACCTCCAAAATGCAAAGAAAAGATCAAATGACTTCTTGAAGGTCACCTAGAACCTCAGGGAAGAGTGGGAGAGTGGATTATTTTCACACTCTGTCTACCAGATCATGATGTCTCAGTAGTGGTCTACCTGCAGGCTAAAGTCATTCCATAACATAGTTAGCACCATGCTTACTGCAGAGACTTGAAGACAGCAGAACCACCATTTCAAAAGAAAGATTTATAGCTCTGTTTAATGAATCTGAGTAGTTGTCTCTGTAAGTTCATAATATCTTTAGTTTGGAGAAACAGAATTAAGTCTTGATAGCCACCTGGTAAATGTTGATTGCAAATGTTTTGTTAGTGACAAGTCTAGCTGAAAAGGAAATAGAATATTTATGAATTTTTTAAAAAAATCTCTGCAAGATTCACATGTGAATCAAACTCAAAATGAGAAGTGGGCTACTGTGTCTTTGCATAGGATAAGTCATAGTTTTTTTTTAGGAGACTATCCAAAATTTATTAAAATGGAGATTATTTTGTCAAAAAGCTATTGCCTTAGTGCAGTCCAAACAGAATAGTATGGTTTAGTAGTTGGGTTCAAAGCCAGAGGAACATTTAAACATACACATAAATCCTCAACAACGTATTCCTAATTCTTATGGAGGAAACAAAAGGTAGCTGCTATTGTAATGGAGGGGACTAGTCCTATGTATGGCAATGTCATACCAATGGGAGCATCCTACAGGGTTGAAAGCAAAGTACAGTTGAATCACAGCTTTCCCATTTTTAAAAAAGATTTATTTATTTATGCATACAAGAACTGGGGTACAGGCCAGAGGTGCATGGGTGGGGTGAGAGGATTCACCAGAGACAGAGTGGGGAACAGAACAGGCAGATCTACTGAAACACACTGCTGAGGGGAGCAGCAGGTGAGACAGGAGAGGTCTGCTGTGCCATGTGGGTCAGCTCCCTGGCCGGGGATCAAACTGGTGCTGCAGAGGCTGTGGATAGCTTCACAGTGCTGTGCTTAACCCTTTGCGCCACCAGGGAGGCCCCCCATTTTATTTCAGACCTTCATGAGACAAGTGATTTAATGCAGGTCTTTGATATACTTTTTTAATCAAGTGATCTTCCATTTGCCTTGAACTGATGTTGGCACTTTTTATGAAGCCATTCGATTCACTGAAATCATGAGATGTGGGTGACAGGTGAGGGATAGTTGGAACCAAAATGAAAAAAACTTGGAAAGAACGACTTATTTTCTGAGAAAACAGAGCGTGGGAATGTTTTCTGGGGAGAGCAGTCCCCACTTCTGTGAGTGATTGTCTGACTCCGTCCTTCACAGCAGCAGCTAGTGCACACCTGCCCCAAATACCTGCAAGACTTTCCTAACCACCCATGAGTGGCTTCCTTTGACTGTTCTCGTGCTTTCCCAGGACACCTACGGATAGAAGAGAAGAGAATTCAAGTTCCCTGATCTCCATTATCTCTCCAGTCAAGGTGTGGACATGGCATTCCGGTGAGTAATTTGGCGCCTCATGTCTAGAAATGCCTTCAGTGTGACTCATGCGTTCTTGAGACACTTCCAGGACAAAGCAGCCTAAGCAGGCATTGGATCTGTGCTTTGTTTGCAAACTCCGACCTTGTTGTGGCCTGCAGCTCCCCAGTGGTTGTCTCCCCTAACTGTCAACCTTCCCCCAAACAAGCTTTGCCCTGTCTGGGAGCCGTCCTCTCTCATCTCAGCTGCTGCCATCCTGCTGGGCCTTTATTCTCACCAGCTGCCTTTGACTGTGGCAGAAAAGTTGTTGACATAGCAGATGGTCTTGGTATTTCTGAAAATCAGCGACATCTTTGCCATTTCCACCCCCACACTCTTGGCTACTGTTTCTCCTTCAAGTGGTTTGGGTCATTTTTAGCAAACCTGTAGACTCTGATGCTTTTTTCTTAAGGATCAGATCAGGAACGGTGTAAGACACAAGCACCTTTGCAGCACATAGACAGAGGCAGAATATTAGGGCTCTTCCATAGAAAACCTGTAAGTGGAGGTAAATTTTGTTTGATGTGGTAGATTCTTAGATAAATTAGAATGAGCAAATAGAGAGGTAGACTTTATTTTATTTTAAAAAATATTTATTAATTTATGCATACAAGAACTGGGGTACAGGCCAGCAGTGATGGGGGTGAGAGGATTCACCAGAGACAGAGTGGGGAGCAGAACAGGCAGATTGATTGAAATACACTGCTGAGGGGAGCAGCAGGAGAGACAGGAGAGGTCTGCTGTGCCATGTGGGTAGCTCCCTGGCTGGGGATCAAACTTGTGCTGCAGTGGCTGTGGATAGCTTCATTGTGCTGCGACTTAACCCCTTGCACCAGCAGGGAGGCCCTGAGAGGTAGATTTCAAATACTTGAGGTATGAGGTACCAACCAGTGAGATGTGGTTAATGGCTTTTACTCAGAGAAACAGAGATTAATGTTCATGGTTTGGGAATTATTTTTTTAAAAAGTAATACCCCACTGAGTAATGTTTACCCTTATTGAACACAAAAGGACATGAGAGGGGGTGAGTACAATTGGGTTCAAGGCTATTCTTCAGAAGTCCCTCCAATGTCAAAGCCAAATGAAAGTGCCAAAAGCCCTTGATGATCCATTCTAGGTGTGTAAAAAATTCAAGCAGACTGATTTATTTTTCTGGGTTGGCCCCAAGCAGGCCATGTGAACACTGTCTTGAACTAACTAAATAATGGTATAAGAACCTCTCCTTTATTGCTGCCCTGTAAGTAGAATTTTGGAACATGCTCATTCTCCTGGAAAACACCGCACAGATGTGAAGGTGACATGAGTAATGGTGACCCCTCGGGGTTTAGCCAGCCTCTTGTGAGTGAGTGAGATCCCTCTCCAGGCCTCTAGCACTCATGATTGGGGGTGTTCTTTGAGGTGCCTAACAAAGGTGAGGGGAGCACCCTGTCTCCAGCACATCACAGGTAAAGTGCAGTTTGTTAAGTCCAAGTTCTTTCTTCTCCTGGTCCAGGCACGCATGTTCTGTCAATACTGGAGCACAAGTATGATGGTGGTCCCAGTGGGTGTGTTGTGGGCTATACCGTCCTGGTTTGTCATATACACTCTCCCACATTCATGTAATGACAAAGTCGCCTAATGATGAATGTATTCCTGTCATTAAGAGACCTTTGACTCTGGCAAGGATCACAACAGCATCAAACTGTTTAGCTAATTGATTCTTTTGACTGCCAAAGCCGAGCCCAAAGGATAAGAACATGGAGCTCTCTTGGGTGGAGGGAATATGTAGGAAGGATGGTAGGAATGTGTAAAGGTGAACAAGGAATGTCCCTGGTACGGCAAGTTGAATGAGGAAAACCATGAGTGTGAAATGTGCAGGGTGGGTTAGGAAGAAGATGCACAACCTGAACCACAGAGCAAGGGTACCAGCCCCAATGTCATGGTTGATCTAATCCAATTCCTGTCTTCCCTGATGATCACATTATTAGGGTCTCCAAAAAAATTCACTGCTTGAGGGCCTCCCCTGGTGGTACAGGTGGTTGAGCTTCAGCGCTGTGAAGCTGTCCGCAGCCTCTACGGTGCTGGTTCGATCCCGGCTGGCGGCGTGGGTCCCACATGGCGCAGCAGACCACTCCTGTCATGCCCGCTGCTCCCCTCAGCAGTGTATTTCAGTCAGCCTGCCTGTTCTGGTCCCCACTCTGTCTTTGGTGAATCCTCTCACCCTCTGGCGCCTCTGGCCTGTACCCCAGTTCTTGTTTAAATAAATAAATAAGTCTTAAGAAAAAATTCACTGCTTGAAAAAGATTTACTTCACGATGGAAAAAAAACTTACCCAAAGAATTCTCTCTAACTATGCCATCAGCCTGGCTTACTATTCATAATTCTAGGTAGAGAAGGGCAGGTATAATTAGAGACTGAGATGGAATGGTCACCAAGTAAATGAGTGAAGACAGGCACAGAGCTAGAGTTTTATTTTTTTCCTAGATCATGGCAACCCTGGAGTGGTGGAGAAGGAGAATAGCCAGTCATATCAGCCAAGTAAATGAAAACAGTTTGTAGAGACAAAGAAAGAACCCACATCTCAGGCCTTTCTCACTGGTGAAGGCTTCTAATTCTTTATCAAACTATATCTGTTAGCCAAATGAAAGGAATAATAAAAAAAGGAGCCTCCCACACCTTTTTCTCAATAGCAGACAGTAACTTCAAGGAAAATTCTATCAAGTTTCAGCAAAGAGTTTAAATACAGATCACATTAAATGCAGGAACATTAAAATCCAGGTCATGTTGATCTGGTCTTTTCTAGATTAGTGTTTAAATTCCTCAAGTATTCACCAGTAAATACATATTCAGAACAGATGTTGGGCCCAGCTGGGGGTGCAGTAATGGCCTGCAATCCAGATTATTACCGGCAACTGGAGAGCCCTTGACGTATTTGAGAAAAGTGCTAATTCCTAAACTGTGTTTAGGTTCCAAAGCACTTTGGAGACATTTGGTAAACATGTGCAAACATACTATATGTGTAATTGTCCTTGAAAACAGGTTGTTTAATGACTATATAACCGAGGTCTTTATTTTCTCAAACAGTAGGTAGTCAAAATCTTAAGAAAGTCTACTCCACCTAAACTTGAGTGCACAGCTCTGTGATATGCCTGCAGTTCTTGAATATTGATGACTCTTTCCTAATGTAAAATTCATCTCTCCATCTACTTTCTTGCTACCTGCTATAAATATTCCTTTTTACTTGTTTAGGCAAAGAGTAATCTTGGTGATCTTATAAAAAGAATGAAGAATTCCATGTTAGCTTACAAAATTGCATTAGACCAACATCTTGCTTAGAAAAAAGATTTCATTTATTTTTTTTCACAATTGTTTTCTTTGTATTTAAAATCAATTATTTGACAAAATGTGCCATGGATGAAAAATATGTATGGAGAGATTAGGTCACGCTCAGAGTAGCATTGTGGTAAATTGTGCCAATTGGCATTAGACGCCAAAATTAGAAAAATTGTTTCTAGGCATTCATATTCTGTGGTTTTATTTAACACACATCCCACCTGAGTTCTAAATTTATTTTCCAAGGCAGCTAAGCTCCTGGGGGAGAAATTACACTGCCAGGTAAGAGTTTATGAGGAAACACACACCACAGACACACCCTCACAAATCACACTGAGTGTAACCCACCACACACCAGACTCCTAGAATTTCAGATGAGAAGAGTGAAAATAATGAGTTAAAGTGAATCTTTCAAAATAATAGTAATTAATAAACAAGTCCTAAAACAGGGTTTTAAATTTTATCTCTCATAAGCCTATATTTTTAGCCAAATTTGGTTTTACAGATGTCATTTACACCCAAAGAATTTCACCCCAAGCACTTTGATTTTGCATCCTAGCAGACAATTTAAGACATTGAGGTGTATTTATTCTACCTCTGCTTTTTCCCTGACCTATTTCAAGGAAGAATTTCTGAAATTCCTTGCTGTGTGGGTATTAGTCAGCAGAAAACCTAAGTAATCTTAAATCCAAAGCTTTTTTTGTTTGCTTGTTTTATATAAAAATCTGTCTTGTAGAAGAGCTGGATCCCAGAGTTGGTGAGGAATGTTCTGACAGCTGGGAAAGAGGAAGAGGTTCTGACAGCTGGGGAAGAATGAAGTCTGAAAGGGGAGTGTTAAGAGGTTGACCACGTTGTGGACTTAAACCCTGTATTCTGATGGCAGAGGGAGGAGCCTTCAGAGGGTGTGGCTGATTTCACCATTCATCCAAATTTCTCTGTCCTAAGGGTGATCCACTTGCTGGGTGATAAGATATAACCAAACCATAATAAGCATATTCAGTAAAGTGAAAAGTGGAGGATCTCAGAAGCACTTTTCCAAAGACTGTGAATGTTCTATCCTTCTCTTTGCTTTACCAGAGCCTTCTCATGAGTGTGTGTATGTGTGCGTGCACATAAGTGCCATGTTCGCACATGTGTGTGATGTGGGTTGGGAATTCCAACAGGATGGAAATTCTTTTTTTTTTTTTTTTAAAGATTTATTTATTTATTTACACAAGCACTGGGTACAGTCAGAAGCATGGGAGGGTGAAAGAATTCACCAGAGCCAGAGCAGGGAACAGAACAGGCAGACTGACGAAATACACTGCTGAGGGGAGCAGTGGGCGTGGCAGGAGAGGTCTCTCACGCCATGTGGGACCCTCACTGGTAGCCGGGGATCGAACCGGCACTGCAGAGGCTGTGGGCAGCTTTGCAGCCCAGCGCTCAACCGCTGCGCCACCAGGGGAGGCCCAGAATGGAAATTCTAATGGGTCTAAGTTGATGTAGTGTTTCTCATGACATAAAGATATGGTATTTCTCTGCTTAGTGTGGATTAAATTTACCTTAACCACAAATGACCAGTACAGACTATATATAAAGAATCAAAACTTTTGGCTTGAAAAGCTGTTGGTTTT